ATTCCCAAACTCACAGATCCAATACACCCGCAACCCTAAAAAGAAAAAACCAACTCCATCCCAATTATAAGTAACACAACATTTCCTAAATGCCCACCATAACGCTCCATGAGAAATGAATCTCCCTAAACCCTAGCACGAAGCAACATCAATCATTCAAACAAATAAAAAAAATTAGAAAAAATCATTACTCCTTGAAGCTCGTTGAGCACGCTCTCTCCTGGGCCGCCGTTGTTGATGAACTCATCGCGGACCTTGTTGATGACGTCCTCGATCACGTGGATGTAGACATTGCTGGTCGTGGTGCTCGCCATTCCTCAGCGGAGTTTTTCGGAAATTTGCTAAAGTTTGGATACAGAAATTGATGGACCTCAAATGGGTTGCGCGTGGATTCAGTGAAAAATGACCTCAAATGTGTCGATGGAGAGATTGTGGGAGCAGACGGCGGAGGGAAATGGGAGAGAAGGGGCGGAGTGGGAAAGGTGAGAATAAAGTGTGGAATATAAATAGGTTTGCATCCGTTTATATTGCTTAGGATCCACGTGGCGATGTGTGATAGATCTAATCTAATTTTCTTTTAGCCGGATTTGATGTTTTTTAAATGGAGTCAAATATCGGTTTGATACAATTGATATCCAATTAATCTATTCTATTATTATTATATAAAGAGACAATCCAAAAAATCTTAGAATAGTAACTAAAAAAATAATTTGGAATCCCGCCTAAATATTTACTAAATATAGTAATGGTTTTGAAAAATTTTGAATATCCCGCCTAAATGTATTTTTGAAAATTTTGTAAAAAAATTTAAATTCAAACATTTAAAAGAAAAGATCACATTTTGATACACTAGTGTATATCCCGTGCGATGCACGTAGGAGCTCACATTTTAAACCTTTTTTAGGCTTATTTTAAATATAATTACTTATATTTTTCACATCTCGTCTATTATGAAAATAAAATAAATACAAACAATGAAAAATATATATTATTAAACACTTCTCTTTATACAATATTTTTTTAAGTAATATTATTAAACCTTACTGTTTTGATTTTATATTTTTTAAAAGTCAATTATCTCCATAAGAATAATCATACTATTTTAATTTCAAAAAAATTGGCAAGTTTGTTAGAGAGATAAATCCAATTAGATAAATGATTAATTAATTAAGATATTATATTAATTGTATCATAAAAAATCGGTTAGATAATGTAGATAAAAAAATATAATATTAATTAATTTGTTAGGAATGTGATTATATGAAAATCAAGATAAAATGAAATTTACCCAAAAAAATTTGTTTAAGATTTTTTTTAAAATGTTTGAATATAAAAATTTAATACCGAATTTCGATTATATCACATAAGGAAAAAATAAATAATAAACATTTATTAATATATTAAAACATGTAATTTTGAATTTCATACAAAGTAAAAGGTATAATAATTCAAATTTATTTTTAAAATAAAAGCTATGATAAACATTTATTTGTTATCTATAAAATTTTTATTTTTTATTATTCTAATGATTTATACATTAAAGTGAACTTAGGCACGGTATGATTTAATTCATTTGAGGTTGTATTATTTGAGGTTGTATCAACCGCATTCCGTCCGCACAAACATGTTATAGAAGGATTAACTCAAAAACTTAATTTGACAAAATAAATTACAAATTCATTTCCTTTTTTAACGGATAGATTACCTCCAAAAAAAAAAAGGAAGTCAAATATATTGCTAAAACAAAAATTTGTTTTCCAAAATGAAAAGAATCTTAAATTTATCCGATATGGAATGAATCTCATCCAAAACATATTGAACTCATCCAAATTACAGAATTTCGGAATGAAAAAAATTCAAACTTTCGAAAAAAATTCAAACAAAATATTAGGGGGAAAAAATGATTTGAGCGGTAAAATGAAATAATTTTTCAAACATTTTTTCTTCTGTCTATTATATAGTAATAGATTCCATTTTATCTTAACTTTTATATAATCTACCATATCATTAAAAAATATCTGCTTACAAGAAATAAATAAAATATTAAGATTAATATATTTAACATTGTCATAAAACAGAATTTACATGATTTAATTTTATTATTATGAGATAGGATAAATTCTAAATATTGAATAGAATGCACATATGGAATAATATTTATTTGAAAGTTACTTATATATTTTAAAATAAATTACATCAGTAACTAATATTAATGCAAATTGAATACTCAGGAAATCTTTTTTTTTTACTGCAAAAAAAAAGATAAACTTTTCTGCTCGTCTTTACAAACCCTCGGCTCCAAATTTCTCCCCGCTCGTCTCCTCCAATTGACAGCAGTCGGCCTTCCATAGTAGCCACCGAGCTTCGCCGGCGGTCGCCGGCCCTTGGCCGTTTGGTTCCTGTCCCCAATTTTCCGCTCTGCTGTCCGTCTTCCATGGAGGTCGGCCTCGCCTGTCGCGATGGGACTTCGTCTTTTCCAACGGTGACAAGCGATTTCACGGTGGTGGCTCCTCTATTGGGCGGTGGTGGAGCCGTGGCGCGGTTCCGGGGGCGGGACACGAATCAATTGCTCGTCGACCATCTTGGTTGGGCGATTGAGCGGTGCTGCTGTTCGACGTCAGTCTCCCCGCTATTCTCGGCTTTCGGGTCGCAGGGGTCGTCGCGTCCCTTCTCCTGCCAGTGGTGTTGGTCGGAGTGGGATGTGGCGGTGCGGCGGTGTTGGGCGGCTTTGGGCAGCTTCCAGGCGGTCTTGGATTGGGGCTGGGGTCGTGGCACTCCTTTGTCCGTCCGTGGCAATCTGGTGCAGTGGCCGTGGTACGGGGTGGCTTGGTGTGGTTCTGGGGTTTTGTGTTTCGACGCCGTTAGGCAACCGAGTGGTTTGGGCAGTTTCGGAGTCGGTACACATAGCTGCGGATTCACAGTCGCCTTGTTTTCGCTGGTTCGGTTAGGTGTAGCTACTTTGGAAGGGCTTGGTTAATTTCGTTGCTTTTGTTTTGGTTTGGTTTGGTAGCTTAATATTTTGTATGTGTTGAGTCTGTGTGTGTGATTTTTGGTCTTGTTTTTTAGGTTTGAGCCGTTGGCCCCGGTTCTGATTCCCCTGTGGGGGGCGTTTCATATTCTCCTGTGGGGAGCGTTCGTAGTTGGTGTGTTGGTGTAGTTGTGTGTTGTGTGTTTTATTTTCTAGCGTGGCTAGCGAGGTTCTAGGCGGTTTCGATCCGTCCTCCCAGTTTTTAGTTCTTGGTTACTAATATTAATGCAAATTGAATACTCATCATTTTATAAAAAAATTGAATAATACTTTTATAAGTGCTATAACTAATAATAATGAAACTGAAACTATATGAAATTAAAATTTAGAATAAAATAATATTTAAGTATTATGATGAATAATAATAAGTAAAATTATTATTTCTGTATCAAAAAATAAATATATATTTTAAAATATTATTTATTTTAATATTAACTGGTCAACGGGCTAATACACTATTAAAACAATTTTTTTTAAAAAAAATTAAGATATAAACCCGCCCGTGCATAGCGCGGGATACTTACTAGTTGATAATAAATCATTACTTATATGGCCCATTTTGGATTTTGGTAATTGGCGTGATTAATTCCCTATTCAGTTTCCACTATTATCCATGTATTCAATCAAACTTCATTATATAGTTTGATTTTATTTTTCAATTATGTGATATTGCTTGGTTAGAAATAATAAAAAGTTCATACAAAGGTGTTTTTTTACCGGGAAATGCTCCCTTATCCACGGAGGCCACATATTAATATGCTCACCGCTTATAACATCATCAATGTGTGCATGTCACATAAGCGGTGGAAATATTAACATGTGTCCACCGTAGGTATGGGAGCATTTCCCTTTTTTTACCTTATCTTCCTCACACATGTTTGAAAGATGGTTTAATAAAAAAATATTGTTATTATTTTTTTAATTGTGTAAACTGTAAACATCCACACTAAAAAAAAACAATAACTAAACCTTTTGTGTTGCAATGTTTTTAATAATATTTTTAAATAGAATAAAATATAAACTTTTATTCAAAAAATGTCTTTCAAACACGTGTGTGGAGGTTTTGTGCACTGCAAATAATTATAAAATAAAATTAATTTTAAATAGATGAATTACATTTAATTTACAGCATTAATTTTATGTAAGTGTACACTTTCATAATTTATGCAAAAAAATATAAATAATTAAGAAAAACATACTTTAATTTAGACAAATAAATTTATGGGTTAATTCATAAAACAATTAATTTACTAATTTAATTTTCTTAAATCAATTAATATTATTTTGTAGATTTGTATATGTGTAGAGTACGTACACGAAACCACCGCACACATGTTTGATAGAAGGTTCGGTAAAAAAATATTGTTATTATCTCTCTAATTGTGTAGACTGTAGACATCTACACTAAAAAAATAAAAGAAAATCAATAAATAAAACTGATGTTTTGTAAATAAAAATAATATTTTTAAAGAAAATAAATAATAAAAGTTTATGAATAAAACGTCTTTCAAACACGTGTGCGGAGGTTTTATGTAGTACAAATAATTAAAAAATAAAATTAATTTTAAATAGATGAAATTGTTAAAGTTACAGCATGAGATTTCTGTAAGTGTACATTTTCACAAATTATGCATTTTTTTTACAATCTCTATAGCTAAATATTTCATAATAATAATAAAAACAAACTCCATGCATGTCACCATGGCTACCTTTATTTTTTTTGTAGCCTTTATAGCTAAATAACTAGTACGATCGCCCGTGCAAATGCACGGAAGATATATAAAAAGAAAATAACTGTAAAAAAAAAGTGAAATCTTAAAAGATTTATTTATATATTATTTAATTCTTCCTTATATAGAATATCTTTTATTGGCGTGCCTTTTTTTAGCGTGACAACATTAATATTGTAATTCATTATTGTTCATAACTCTAGAAACAACAATACCGAGTTAACTATGACTGATGGCAAGTTATTCATGTATGAACCAATATTAAAAAAAAAGTGAGATTTGACTCTTGATAATCGTCGTGATATCAGAAACTATCAAATAAAATTATCTTATTTAAAATTTAAAAGGGGTTCAAAATTGATGGTGTTAAACTCATTCTATGTATCTAGACATGGTCAAACGACCCGGTCCACCATTTTCGGACATTGGAGAAGCACCGAGGCGGTTCCAAAAACCAGCGGTCCAAACTCCAGACTTGGTGGTCGTTTTTTTTCTTTTTTTGAAATAGTATAGTTTTGAATTTGAATTATGAAAATTATGGTGTCAATCCGCCAGCTCCGAACGATCCTAAATCGAGCCCAGAACACTCAATTTGAATTATTTTTAGGAAGGCTCGAAACATGCCTCTATATATATATATATATATATATATATATGAGCCTGGTTCGTAGTCGGTCCCCTGACCCATGGTCGACGTGATCAAGAGCTTGTCGTCCAACAGGACGAGCCAACAATTCAACAGCGGATTCAATCTTGGACCTGTTT